TCAACACCCCAAAGTTGTGCTACACCACTGCATTATTTTTTGGGCGTAATCAGAGAACAACCAAAATTTTCATGTTGAAAGTCTTGCAATAACAATTTCAGGGGACAAATCTCGTGTTTGAAGAAACTAGGAATAGAATGAGTCTGCATGTTATGGTGATTATAAACTTACGATGGGAAAAACCAAAAAGAGTTCCTAATATTAGGAGGCAAATTAGGTGTGATCCTATCCCTAGGGATGATTAGATGACGAGAATAAAGTAGAAAGTGAGAATGAGGATGACCAAATATCGATAGTTGAAGTGGGTAAAATGAGGAATAGTAGAGATATGCTTGAAAGGGGACATAGAGAACGAGATAGGATAGATATAAACCTTAAGAATATTAAGATGAAAATATCTTTCTTCCAAGATATAAATGATCCTAAAGTTTATTTGGAGTGGGGGTTGAAGTTGGAATTGATATTTGATTGCTATAACCATTTCGAGGGGAAAATTTTAAAGTAGCAATGATTGAATTCACCAATTATGCAATACTATGGTAGGATCGATTGGTGAAAAATAGGATGAAAAATCATGAAAGATCTATAGAAGCCTAGGATGAATAAAAGCTCTTATGAGGCGGAGATCTATACCTAGACATTATTATAGAGACCTATCAAAAATTATAGAACCTTACACAAGGTTCAAGAGGTGTAGAAGATTTCCATAAAGAGATGGAGGTAGCTCTGATTTGTGGAGTTGGAGGACATTGTGTACATGGTGATGAATGTGGAGATAAAATTGAAAAGGAAAGGAACAACAAGTTATTCTTCGGGTTTTAATCTTCCTTGGAGATCAAGTAGGGTAGTAATAATAATAATAATAATAATAATAATAACAACAACAACAACAACAACAACAACAACAGGGGTAATGGGGCCAATTCAAATAGTAAGACCGAACTACACAAGGAAAAAGAAGAAGTAGTAAGCAAAAATAACCACAAGTCTAATCCCCAACCTTCTAGGAGTAGGGTTATCAAATGCTTTAAATGGGTAGGTTCAGACCACATTGCATCAGCATGCCTAGACAAAAAGATAATGATTTTGTATGATAGTTTGAAAGTGGTGACAAGGGATGAGAGTTATAGTAATGAGATGCTCGAGTTGAAGGATGCTAGTGATGATAGGGTAAAGTACCTTGTAGAAGGTAAATCTCTTGTTTCAAGGCATGCTCTTAGTGCAAAAATTAAGATAGATGAAATGTAGTAGAGATAGAATATATTTCATACTCGTTGCTATGTTAACAATAAGGTGTGTAGTATGATTGCAAATGGGGGAATAGTACCCATGTAGCTAGTACCATCTTTGTTGAGAAGTTGGGCTTGTCTATGCGAAAACATTTTTGATCCTATAAGTTACAGTGATTGAATGAATGTGAGGAGCTCAAGGTTAACAAGCAAGTCCGAGTAATCTTTACTAGTTGGAGGTATAGTGAAGTGGTGCCTATGTATCATCGTCATATTTTGTAGGGAGGCCATAGCAGTATGACCAGAATGTGGTACACGATGGGTTTAAAATAAGTATATTTTTGTCAAAAATGGAAAAATGGTTACTCTTTTTCCTTTACCCCCGAAATAGGTCTATGAGGACCAAATGCAGTTAAAAGGTGAGAAAAAAAGAAAGAGAGCAATAATGAGAGTGAGGCTGAAATACTAGAAAAGAAAAAGAATAAGAGAGAAAATAGAGAAGTGACTAAAAATCATGAAAAAAGAGTAGGGTCACAAGAGAAAAATGATAGAGAGCCTTTAAAGAGAAAAGGAAAAACAAAAGTGACATTTTATGCAAAAGAAAGTGAGATTAAGAGGGCTTCCATGAAAAACTAGCCTCTAATATTACTAGTATACTAAGAATCCTACCTTAATATTGAAAAAACTAACCAATCCCTTCCTATTTTGGCTATTTCTTTGTTATAGGAACTTGAGGACATATTTCCTGAGGAAATACCTAATGGGATACCACCAATTAGAAGTATTGAGCAACAAATTAATTTTGCACTTTGAGCTATTATTCCAAACCGATCAGCCTATAGAAGTAATCCTAAGGAGAAAAATGAGCTTTAAAGGCGAGTTGAGAAGTTGATGGACAAAGGATTCATGAGGGAGAACATGAGTCTGTACCAGTGCTACTTGACCTAAAATGGATAAAACGTGGAGACAGTAAATATATTGCTGGACAGTCAATAATATAATGATAAAGTATCGTCATCCCATATCCAGTTAGATTATAAATTTATTGACTTTCATGGGGCTTTTACTTTTAGTAAAATAGATTTTAAAAGTGACTATCACCAAATTAGGATGAAAGAATGAGATGAATGGAAAAATACTTTTTAAGACTAAATATGGATTGTATAAGTGGTTAATTATGCCATTTGATCTTACCAATACACCTATTACTTTCATGAGATTAATGACTATCACCAAATTAGGATGAAAGAAGGAGATGAAAGGAAAAATGCTTTTAAAACTAAATATGCATTATATGAGTGAATAGTTATACCAATTGGTCTTACTAATACACCAAATACTTTCATGAGATTGATGAACCATGTATTGCGTGTATTCATAGAAAAAATTATAGTTGTTAATAGAATACTAACTCAATTTTTACGTAATATAATTAATAAGAATTTGAAGAATTTAGAGGATTGTTTACCATTTATAGAGTTTACATAAAATAGGGCCATGTATTCTGCTATTCTTTTTTCTCCCTTTGAAATTGTGTATGATTTTAATCCATTAACTCCTTCAAATTTAATTCTATCGATAAAAGAGGTAGTTTGGATGGAAAAAAGAAGACTGAATTGGTGAAGTCAATTGTGAATGTTCTCTGTTGATTGAAAAGAATAAACATTATGCTTTTCAAGTCAATAAAGGAAGAAGTATAACATTTGAACAAGGAGATTTGGTTTGAGATCACATGCGAAAAGCGTATTTTCTAGCCTAAAGAAGGTCTAGATTGCATCCACAGAAAGATGGACCATTCCAAATCTTTGAGAAGATTAATAACAATGCCTAAAAACTAGACATTTTAGAAAAGTATAATGTGTCTGGTACTTTTAATGTTACAGATTTCTCTCTCTTTGATACAGGTGAAGGTATGAGGTCGAATCTTTTTGAAGAGAGAAGGAATAACGAATATCACAAAGGACATGCTAGCAAAGATAGCAAGGATTTTTTACATGTTCCGGACAGACCAATAAGATTATCAAGAGAAAAGAATATCAAGGAAGCCATGCATTGACTTATCCAAGCTAGGTGGGCCAACAGTTCAAGTGCAACGAGGAAAACACCAATTTTCAAGATGAGAGTGAAGGAAAAACCAACCTGAGTACATTTGTTTCAAGCTATGTAAACGGGACCTAATTTAGAAAGTCTTGCCCACTTAAGGTTTTAATTCCATAGCCCAACAACCACCACAAATTCAAAAACCCTGATAATAAAATATTTGTACCATGTGCACGTATAGTAATTCAGTAGGGCATTCGATGCTAGTTTTTCAGTTTGGTTCAAACTCTATTTGCTTCGTTTTTATTTAGATTTTCGAATAAATTAGTATCTTTTACCCACCTATACAAGTGATTTAAGTGATTAACATATGAATAGTTAACATATTATTTGAGTAATTAATTACAAATTGGGATTTTCGCTTCAATTTTACTCTTAATTGAACTATTCATAGCTTATCAATATTTTCAATCATTGTGGCGTAAACCCTTCAAAAGTTGATTCTTGATTCAAAAAATATTGGGTCACTATTCTAACTTCGATTTAAGTTTTCTTGGAATTTGTATCAAATCTTGTTATGGTTTCAGGGTACATACAATAAAGGGGTTCACATCACACCATGATCAATCACTAATACACGAAGCAACACATTTTTCATCCTTCTAACTGTTTAAGACTTAGTCATTACATTGCATAAAGACTGCATTGTAAATGTACACGTTTCCCTTTTATTTATTTTTTAATTTTTTTTTTTTAAAATCATATTTAAGTGTCTGATTGCAAGGTTTTATGGACTGCGATCACGAACACGCCATAACTCCTTATTGCATTGCTCACAAGGAAAGGAGTTATAACCTTGACCTTCCAAACTCAAAACTATTATCATAATTAAAAAAAAAACAAAAAACAAAAAACAAAAAACAAAATACAAAAAATCCTTCCTCTTCTACAAGGATTCATATCGAAAATTTGAACGTTCTCCTCCGATTTCGAATACGAAAATAAATTGAGTACATCAAACAGTCAATTCCCAACATCACCAATATATTTCATCATCAAAAACATTTAAGGTTTGAAAATCATGAAGAATTCGAGTTTCTTTCCTCCTCTGGGATTTTTCTTCGATATTTTCTGTGTGTGTCTGTGTTTTTTTTTTTGGGGAAATTTTATTCAGGAGGATGGACCGAGTGGATGATGGGTTATAACATATGATTGATAAGTGCACAAAAAATTGGTTCAAAACATCTATCAATTGCCAGAAATAATTAGGTCAAATTTCTAGAACACAAAGTGTTCGATGAAATAATGCAACGAACTTCGAATTGATGTTTTGGCTCCAATTTCACACGACACACAATACTGAATACATAAAATATTCCTGTGAAAAACTTTGCATTCACATTGAAGATTGGACACTTTTGACACGGACATAGCTCGACACAGGACAGGAAGAAGCTCCCTCCCACATTACATCTCCCCTACCTTCCATTTTTTTTGAAAAAAGGTTTAGGGGTTCTATTATTATCAATTTCAATTACGTGCTTCTAATGTTTCTTATGATCTTTATTATGGGAAAGAACGTCACTGAAAAGAAAGACTCCATCGGTGGCAGAGAAAGAAAAAGGAGCTCCAGCGCCACATCTTTTTTCGTCTGATACTCACTCGTCCGGCAAGTTCCTAGTTTTCCTCTTTTGTTTTAGTTTCTATATTTGGTTTTAAGACTTTGGAGCGTATAAAAGAAATGAAGTTGGATATATACATTACAAACAAGTGAGAAAATTACTTTCGTATGAAAAAAGAGAAAAAAAAAACGTCAGTACAAAATGATGGACAAGGGAAGGGGACACAGGTATATGACTGCAGACTAGCACTAGCAGCCGAGACGTGACGTAGAAGATGCAAGCGCAACTGCCTGGGCCCAAATCTTGAGTCGTGCTTTGACATCACCTGAATTATAGTATTAGAAGATAAACTAATTAAAGATAAATCATGAATAAATTTTCCAACTTATTTTTGTATCGTAATTACCAGGGTTGCTTGTGGCGGAGAAATTAGGCATGGTATTGAAGAAGCGGGGATCATGTTCCAGTTCGAAGCCAAGATCTCTACAGGCCTTCACTTCGTCCAAGTCCATGCATATCGGCTTTCTCCCTCCTTTCGGCCTCGTTATCACCACCAAATCTCCTCCTCGTGTCTCGTTCTCTTCGTCAGTATTTCCACATGATCGACTAATAGTAGTCGCGGTACCGGGTCTGCATCTTCCCCTTCTTCTCCGTCCATTACTTGGAGTGGTAATATCATTTTCTACTGGCACAATCGGGTTTTCATAGTAAGCATCGTCATCGCTGGCCGTAGGTGTTGCTGGCAGCGAGTAATACGACTGGAAATCCACCCACTTTGTGCTAATATTCCTTCTTCTCTCGGATAAATATTCTTCATCAGCGTAATAATTGTAGTCGAAGCTATCGATCGATAAGGTAGAGTTAGTGGACAGTGGTTGATCCACCATAATTTCATGATTCATCTGATCATCATCACTCCTCGAAGAAGGATTGCTCGTCATCCCCATCATCATTTGAACTAATTTGGAAAAGACAAGAGTGGTTGATCTGTCAATCTCGATAATTCAATCACTTTAATTTCCACTCAACAAAAAGAGAGTTCACAGTTAGCTCTACTGCTTCCTCAGACTCCAAACCACACCTTTACTTATACTCGTGAGTCGTGTACAGATATCCAACGCATATTTCATCTACCAATTTGTACAAATAATGTGGATTTCCAAAAATGCCCTCCCCCAACTAATCCTCTGTTGGACTAATCGTTTGGCCGAAATTTGAATAAAAGACATAAGTAATAGGTAAGGTCATGTTTGATATACATCCGTGTGTATATCAAGATGTTCATCCCACTCCGAAAAAATATGTCCATCCGACTCCGAAATTTTTTCGAAGTGGGCCTTCCTCCATGTGAGGGGTGGACACCTTGATATATTCAAAGTGGATCCCTCCATATGAGGAGGTGGATGTCTTAATGTATATTTTTTGATGTACAAATGGAATAACTCATAGTTAAAATTATTATTTTTCATAGAATTCAATAAAACGTTATATGTATATTATAATTGAGCTTTGGCCTTTAGGTGAGAAAAGCAAAGAAAAAGATAGATAGAGTGAGAGAAAAATTAATCAGATAATAATTCTATATAGAAAAGAAAATAGTGGATTGTAGCCTTGGAAATTGAAGCAGCCATCATAGCAGAGACACCTGTCCTCTGCCGACGAATACGTGGCAATTCAAAACACGGCTTTCCCACGTTGTTTTGTCCCGAGGCCTACCTGAAGTCGAAATGTTATATTCAAAATTGATTATAAGATATGTTATTATAAGATATATTCTATGTTTTAACATCGTTCATTCCCATTCCCAGTCTCACACGTTGGGATTGCTTCGAACATATTATATAGTCAATACCTACCGTACCTCACCGACTCTTCGTCTCATACCATAATGTCGTATGTCATCTAGAGCCACCCCTTTCAATTTCTATTTTTCAACCACGATTTATATAAAAATTAGATAATGACGGTCCAAGAGAAAAATAATTTATAGCCTTGCGCTTTTTCTATATTTAATGCTCATTAACTTTTACTAACTTATGCTTCAACTTGTAAGGCCATTTAGTCCCTATGTGAGATTGATATTGTTATTACGGAAAAATCATCACATGTGAGATTTCTCACTTATGAAGTGAGTAGTTGATATTACAAATTAAAATGTAGTGACATTTAAATGGATACGCAAATATTTTGTTAAAAGAACAATATACTGTATTACTATTTGAATGTTATGGTTAATCTCTAATATTTGATAGTGGAATTAATCTTTTGATTTGAGGTCATCACAACATTTTTTTATGAGGATAATCATATTTTGGTGATATTGCATGTTGTTCTACCAAGAGTCACTAATACGATATCTTTTGAGTATGTCAGGAATTATATGAATGTTATGAATAATCAAAAGAGGATTCGTTACTCTTATGTAGGAAGAGATTATGATCTACGTTTAACTTGCTGAAGTTGATATTGAAATCATTGACCAAGATTAGTACGAAGTCAAAAATAGTTTCAACGATTATTAACTTAAGAATGAGACGAAAGATATGATTGATTAATAGAGATTGACACATCTCCATATCTCATCACCTCTAATTTATTTGCACATGATACCCGAGGTGGTGGACCACTATATGTTCGCACTTGTAGACCATTTTGATACTCTAGAAATATCCCTTTGGGAGAAATATCCTTTTGAATTGACATTATCGTCGTTAAAGGAAGGCTTAGCTAAAGAAGTAAGCCACTACAGGTTGACTGGTTTTCTAATTGCTTTCCAAATGTCATTGTATGAGTGCATGCTTGGCCTTCAAGGGAATATAACCACAGGAGTGTGTAAAAAGTACCTAAGAATAATGAATTGGAGCGTGCACGAACACCCATCGGTGGCATTGCTAGAATAAAAAATGTTTGCAAGTGAGAATGTGAGTTTGTAAATACGTTATGAATTTTTATGTAATCATTTCGTTGGTTATACATGCTTTAGATATGATATATGCCTAATATTGAGCTCATGATGCCCTATTTGATAGTTTCGAAATATAATTTTTAGATAATTGTGACATGAAATATGATATGATTGTGACCTGAAATATGTGTACTAAAATTCCATGTCAGGTGAGATATGAATTTCTTGAAATATTTGACAGGGTTAAGAGTTAAAATATAATATGACCTGGGATATATAGTTTCTCCCACAAGATTATTTTGCCAAAATCACATTTCTATCATGTCTATGACATAAAATATGTGTTATTGACGTTCTGTCAGATATATTATGATCTAATTTGTATGAATGTGTAAATTGATGTTGTTTGTGCTGTATATTTTGCATGACAAATGTGTCATATCTATAGCCGAAACAGCTATATTAGAACATTAGGAGCATTGCAACTTAGGTAGGTACAAGAGAGTCTACCTCCCCATTCACACCAAGGTCACTTCGTTATCATTAATTCCATATGTTCGTGTGCCACTGTCAAAGGTACATATAGAAGATGTGCCACTATCAAAGCTGAACGTTGAAGTTCCAGATGATGATTTTTCGGATCCATCGCTGCAAAGACAGAATGGAGCTGGCAGCTCAAGCTATTCTTAGTCTCGTCCTACACATCATCCCCGATTGTTCATGCCTCGAACGAAGTAATATCTTTCTTAACAAATTGAAAGAACATATTGATATACAAGCTTACTATCAACAACAATAAGGAATGTGGTCGACTAAAGTAGATGATGGATAAGGAAATATCCAAGCTTCATGCTAAGAATAAAGGGTTGTGAGAGGATATTTTGTCGATTAAGTCACATATGTCTGACATGAATAAAACAGTGTGTCGTGTAAATAGATCTTTGAAGTTGGACGAGATCATCCTGACCCAAAATATATTGAAAGACAGCGTGACCCATCTCTGGAATCTTTTGTTGATTTAGTCTTTGACATCTTACCTTCATTTATGGATGAAGTTCATATCAAGTTGAGAGGGAAAAGTAGTTTTGGAAAGCATGTAGCAAATACCAATGAATATCTATCTTTGAAGTCAATTCCATCCATCTATAATGAATTCAATTGTATATTCTCAGAAGCAAAAGGAAAAATCTAATGAAGTTGCTGACAGGAAGGGTAAGTGTCACATTTATACCTCAAGTGTATGGTGTCAAATTTTGTAAAATAATAATGGAACTAAGAGTATCGAATCTACGAGGATTGTGATTTAATTTTTACTAAGTACTATAATTATATAGTTTTTATTTTATCTAGATAAATAAATGGTTGTGATCAATAGTATTATCTAATCTAAAGGTAAATATGGTGACGAGTTCAAGGAGTGCAATTTATATGAATAAATTAATATAAGAAAGGCATAGGGAATGAATTCACCTAACTATCAATTATGGTTCAATTATTCCAGACAATTTTTCGATGTTAAAAGTAAGAATCCTAATGAATTTTTTTCCCTCTCTCGAGTGTCGGCTAGAAATTAACCCTAAATTTCGATTCTAATATCTATATTCTAAATTAAAATCAGGAATTTATCAAGTTCATAATTCTTTTATGGAGTAAGCTTCGTAGATCCTATAATTTCTCTCGAAACCTATAAATCTACGTTGTGTCAATCCTATGATCTCGATTAAATTCCTCTCTCTGGAGTATCGAAATTTAACTAGCAGATTTCAATCAATTAGTGGTCAATTAATTGAAAGCTTTAATTTTATGACATAATTAAACATATGTGAAAATTAAATAGAAATAACTATGATAAAATCAAATCATAATCTCAAGTTATGGTTACAATCAAACTCTAGATTAGATATTTAGCTCATGATAGAAGAATTAAATCTAAACATATTAATGAATAACATAGAGAAAAGAAGGAAAAACTCTTTTGAAGCTTTAAATTGATTTTTCCCTTTGATGTTTTTCCTCTCTCTCGCTTGATTCCTTGTTGTTAGCTTTTTTTTACTTCATTGAATTGTAAAAATTTTAGGGTTGAATTCTCATTTTTTTCTCTCTCCATAAAAAGTGGTCTCTAGGATTGTATTTATGGCATCATGAAGTCTCGGAGATATTAGGGTTGAATTGAGCTAAGAAAAGAATTCAGAAACATTAAAAACACTTTTCCTACAAGGTGATGCCTCAATGCCACTATAGCAGAGCCGTGAATTATGTTTTTTGCAATAGTGTGGGAGCTATGATGCCCAAGACAAGCATCACATCGCCCACTTCGGGTAGAAGATAGCACTACGTATCCTTCAACATTTTTGTTATAACTTTTTCTCTCAATATCCAATTGAGAAGATTCATAATGTGTTGTAAAGCTAACTCAAACGGTTACGACTTTACTTGAAATATCATTTTCCAATTCAAATGTTTGCTATGTTAAAAGTGGGTCTTAATAAGAGACCAAAAATTTGGAGTATAACTTTTTCGGTTGGAAATTAATGTGTGATAATACTTTGGCTATATTTGATTCCTTTGACATCTTTCTTCATCCAATTGACCCATAACACTCTCAGATCTTCGTTGCGAGGCTCAAAACAATAGTTGAGTTTTGCACTTCAGTCTTCGAACATTGAATCTCTTACAATTTAGCCTTTTTTTTCTCCAAATTTTCCAATATTTGCTTATTTCCTCTAATTTTATCAGCCTATATCACAAAATCAAAGAGCACATTAAAATAATCTAAAACTTATAGGAATTAGTCAAATATCAAGCTTAGATGGTGTCTAAAGTATAAGTGAAATACACTCATCAAAGATAGAGATGACCAGTCTAGAGAGCTGCGTATTAACATTATGATCGATTTATCTCAGCAACAAAATGAGTAAGTATCATTCTTCATATTACAACAATAACACATTTCAATATAATATTTTGTGGTTTCTTATAACTTTATTCTTCAAATATTATAGGCATGACTGGGGAATTTTGTGATCATGTATGTACAATATTTGTTTCACAATGATATTGATAAGACGCCATTGTCCTTTGACATTGGGAATGCCAAGATTGGACTTGAAGTGTTGCTCTTTAGATGAATTAACAATACGTCAACTAAAATGATTCTATGAATTATTA